GAAGTGACATTTCTCCCACTTCAACACCAGATTTAGTCTCTTACACGCTGCCAACAAGAGACAAGCTTGTAGACAGTATCAAAGAGAACCACAAAACGGAGAAGCCCATGAAGACTTCTATAAAAAACCGTTGGTGTTTCCACATGTATGCCAAGATTGGAATCATGCATCTTTGGAATGTGCGGTGCATGCATACCCAAATGGGCCATCCGTCGGTAGGCAAAGGTGTCGAGGGGCAAGTGAAGGTGTTTTCTTTGATCCTCAGGAGCGATGGCAATTTGGTTGTATCTGATACCCCATCCAGAAAACATAATAGGCAGTCTGCTGCCAACCTCTCCAACATCTGATCAAGGAAGGGTAATGGGAAATGATCCTTTCCTTGTCGCCTCATTAGTTACGGTACTCAATGCATACTCTCCAGACCGAACCGCCTCCTGGGGATCAAATCATTGCTCTCATTCATCACACCTGATCCCTCCTTCTTCGGAACTACTTGTTACCGAGCCACCTATGGGCTATCGAGATCGGATAATAATCCCCGCATCAAGAGGTTGACTACTCCTTTCCACCCCCTTTCATTGACGGCTTCAATCTCCGTTGTTGTGTACCCTAGGCTTAATGTCATCCTCTCATGAGAATCTTATGCATGCCAAAATGACGGTGAGATACCTCTAATGTCCGAAAATGGTGCATCCGATTGCTAGTCTATGTGCCTCAAACCCTGATCAACCTTCTTCCTCTAATGCACTCAAATAAGACTAATAATCATCGGAAATGGTTGAGTCTCCAAGATAGACATGATTTGGAGGTGGGATGGTAAAGGTTTCAGTTCAAAGCCTTGGAGTTCTTATTTTTTTTCCTTTGCCTTCTCCTGTCAAAATCAAACTCCTCAAATTCCATATCTTGACTATCCCAATCGGTTTGAAGGGATTCTAAATTCGCACAATCATTACTTGTGATTCTCTACCTCTACTGTTTTCGATTGGCTATACAAGCTTCTAGAGGTAATTCTGGGATGTTTTCTTCCTGGAGTCCACAACAAGTTCATCCACCACATCGCGCTAAGCATGAATCCGCCTTCAGTTGGAAAACTTCATACATCAAAAACATTGAAAGTTACTATTTCATCTGAACCCTAAACTTTCCTTCCTGCACCATCAATCAGTTGCTCTCTCATGGCTAAAAAGGTCGGCCAAATAAGAGGAATTTCCTGATCCTTTCCATATCCAACACTACAAAGTTGCTAAAAAATTATCTTCCCCACATTCACAGTACATTTGGATATCCCCATCGGTGTGCGTTTATCGAACTATCCGCTAGGGCAAACGACATGGTCATTGGCCTCACTTCACCCAATCGTCCCAATCTCCTGAAACGCGACAAGGGCATCAAGAATACTAGCTCTGGATCGACATAAAACACGATCAAAAGTAAAATCCCTATAACACAAGGAATAGTTAAACTCCTTGGATCTGTGAGCTCGGGGTAATTTTTTATGCAGGTGGCACTGCATCTTCGTGAACATCAACGCCTCATCTTCACTTCTTTTGGTTTCGAAGAGGTTTCCTGCAAGAACGTCGCATAACTTGGCATTGGCTGGCATCTGCAAAAGGAATGTAACATGCAATTTTAACATCAGAACTGAATGCATCTGATTCTTTTTCTTCACTCTGAGGAAAAGGCACGGTGGGGTGTGATGTCTAATTTTGAATGGATCCGGGGATGGCAATTTCCTTATTCTTCTTTGCCTTCTTCATTTCCTTTTTCTTTCCCTCATCACTGGTTTCTTTCACAAAGATCCTTCATCAATTTTCTCTTAGAACTCTTCCCTTTGGGGTTCCCCTTGTGGGTAGTTGGTCTACCTCTTCCAAAACTTCCACTCTCAGATTATGGCATGTTGCTTGTTCACGTGGTTAGCACTGTATGCCTTGGTAGAGACCCCTCCGTGGTCTATCATTTTCGGCAATTGGCCCATCTGTACCTCCAGATTTGAAGGACGCCCCTTGGTTTCTGAAATTTGTCCTCTTCTCAATCATGAACCCTGTGGTCTCTGATGAATGTACCAAACATGTCACTCCAACTTGTCACTACTTTGCTCTCCCGGTTGATTGGTCACCCCTGGTGGTATTTGGAACTGGCCTCTGGTTCCATTGGTTTTTTGCTGGTTTGATTTCCCCAAGCCAGATTTGGATGATTTCTCCACCCCGGGTTGATGTGTGGAGTAGGTTGTTCGGTTGTCTCTGATTCCCTGAAGTAATTCACTTGCTCCGTTGATGAAGATGGGAGCAAATGTGTTTCCAATTGGCACTCGTTGCTCACAGGGTGTCCTGTAAAAATAAATGTTAGTTGAGGTTTTATAGAGTTACCTGCATAGTTCCCAACTGTTTTTGAAGTGCTGTGAGTAGGTGAGATGGCTGTGAAGGCATCAACTTCATGAAGACCGAGATTTCTTGTGGTGACCTCTCATTCGGTCTTTGATAGTTATTGTTGCCAAAACCTCAAGCAACTCATACGCTTCCTCTGTGTCTTATTCTGCAAGGCCCTCCCTAAAGCTGCATCCACCATGGTTTGCACATTACCCATCAACCTTATAAAATGTTTGGACTTGAAGCCAAACTGGTAAACCATGGTTGGACACTTCCTCATCAACTCCTGTATCTTTCCCAAGCTCTATAATGACTCGGACTCTTCTTGTAGAAATGATGTGATATAATTTCTCAATTTCGCTGATTTGTGGGAGGAAAGAACTGGTCAGGAATTCTATGCTAGATCATTCACGTTGTTATTGTTCCGGTGGTAATGCCATTAACCACCCCTTGGCTTATTTCCCAAGAGAATGGGAATAACCAGCTGATAGATCATCCAACACTCCATTTGACTTGAAGGTGTCACAATTTCCAGGAAATTTGCAATGTGTTGATTCGGATCTTCCTTCAAATCCCCGTTGAATCTAACCGACTGCTGGATCATCTGGATGATTGCCGGCTTGATCTCGAAATGTTTGCTTGCACTGTAGGTCTAGTGATACTCGACCCACTACATTCACTGTGGGAACTGAGAATTCCCTCAGTGTTCTATTTTCTTGTTCAGCCATTCAACTTCTTCTTAGGTTCTATAGCAAGATTTTCTCTTTCTCTTCTCCTCTGTTACGTCTTCTCACGGTTCGCTCAAGCTCAAGGTCAACAGGAACCAGGTTGACGTCTTGCTCTTGCATAAACTGAAACGAACAAGAGTGAGAAAAGAAATCACAATTCTAATGAAATTAAAAACTTCAATCTAGCTAACTAAAGAAAAACTCAATGTTAGCTTAAACAAATCCGACAAGGGCCCCCAAAAACTGATGCGTGTTTCCTACAACATGCAATGTAGCAAGTACTAATCGCACAAGTAATATATTGATGAGTAGAGTATGTTCCCACGAGGATTGTAAGCAAAGCACTGAGTTCCTATGTTTCTAGTTGAAGCATCGAATTTGTGATTGGTGGGAGCAAATTTTAATTTAAAATTTAACAAAATGAAATTAACTAAGGTGAAAACTTACTTAAGAAAGCAATATAAAAACACGAAATATCAATTCAAGTTAAAACGGTAGGGTTTTGACTTCATTGGATTTTTATGGGTTAAGCCTATAATTACATAAACTCATATCATACGCAATGGTTGTAAATCGAATCACTAAAATGTAGAATACCCTCTTGGGCTATGCCTTCCTATTCTTCCTTATTAACTTCCACACCCAACAAATTGAAGATTAATAATTTCAAACTCATTAAGCACAAGATCCTATAATGATTTCATTAATTCTGAATCTATCTCTAGCATCCAATACTATAACGGTGATTACCCAAGAAGCCTAACATGATTCATTTCTCAATCTCACCATGTTCATCACATACAACATTAAAAATCAGAGTAACACACAACCAAAGCATACTCATATGAAAATAACACAATCAAACCCTTAACCCATTTAGAATCCAAACTACCATCAAAACCCTAACCCAAAAGAGATTAGTTCATAATTAATTCAATAACACAAAAACGAAAATAGGAAATAAACATGTTCAACATAATGAAAATGAGAATAAAGATTAGAAATCTCCCCAAAAGATGAATCCTCTAGTTGGAAATCAAATCTTCTTCCATTTACAACCCAAATCACTCAAAGTTCTTAGCAAAAATGTAAAAGTGGCTAAACCTAAACATAAACGAAGACCCTAGGCAAAAAGACTAAGTTTTTCTTTTATACTTCGTCCAAATAACCCAGTCCAACACGCACAGCACGAAACTGTGCGTTTAACAAAACTGGAATAAGTGATTGTCGTCGCGGCGAAGAATGAGTCAGATAAGTTCGTCCCTGGCCAACTTCGCCGCGACGAAGACATTTTCTTCGTCGGGGCGAAGCTTCTTCCTCAGTTCTGAAATTACAGAACTGCCACTCCGCTTGTTTCATCGTTTGATTCTTCGATTCTCGGTGCTTTTCCTTGGAAACAAGCTTCCTCGTACTTTATCCTGCTCCGGAACTCTCCTATCTTCTGAGATCCGCTAAATTCTCAGTCAAAAATATCCAATTTTGTTCTTATTTGCTCAAAATGACCATTTTAACCTGAAATACGAAAAGTAACGAATTAAGGAACAATTCAGGTCAAAATGCACTAGAAAGTACCTGAAATCCGACAAAAATGTATAATGAAAAGTGTATAATTTACGGATTATCACGCATGGTTGGCCAGTAGTATCCAGCGGTGATCACCCGATGTGCAAGGCTACGTCCCCTAGCATGGTTTCCACATTTGCCTTCATGGAGTCGGCGAGAACATGTTGGGCTTCCTCTGGGCTTGTGCATTTGAGATAGGGACCGGAGAATGATTTTCGGAGGAGTTGGCCCTTATAGATGGTGAACCTGGCAGCTCTTGCTCTTAGTCGGCGTGCCTCGCTTTTGTCAACCGGGAGTTTATTGTGCTCTAAGTACTTTACTATCGGGGTCATCCAACAGTCGGCTAGCTCAATATCCATTGTTTCTTCCATCGACTTGTTTGGTGGTTGCTTCTTCTAGTTGGTGGCCATTGCAGGAACAAGAGTGGGATGGATGACTGGGAAGAACATTGGAGTGCTGAGCCGAGGTTGGCAAGGGCATCAGCATGAGAGTTCTCCACTCTTGGGATCTGGGTGATGGAGAACTCTTCGAATTGGGACTTCAGTTCTTTTACCAGGTTCAAGTATGCCATCATCTTTGAGTCGCGCGCCTGGTAAGTACCTTGCAGCTGGTTGACCACAAGCTGGGAGTCGGACTTCACTTCCAGTCTCTTCGCCCCGATCTCTTTGGCTAGGGAGAGTCCAACGATAAGAGCCTTATATTTGGCTTCGTTGTTTGTGCACTTGAACTCGCACCGTATTGCCCGCTGAATGACGTCTCCCTCCGGTGTAGTCAGTACTAAACCGAGTCCACTTCCATTCACGTTACTTGATCCATCCACTGAAAGAGTCCACTTGGAGGGTGACCCGTCGTCCATGCATAATATCTCTTCCTCTGCTCGCATGGTGGTGCTCGGGGTGAAATCAGCAATGAAGTCTGCCAATGCTTGGGACTTGATAGCGGTGCGAGGCTGATATGATATGTCAAACTCACTAAGCTCTACTGTCTACTGTGTGAGTCGTCCTGATAGCTCCGGTTTGTGTAGTATATTCTTGAGTGGGAAGGAGGTGAGGAAAACTATGGGGTGGCACTGGAAGTATGGCCTAAGCTTTCTGGAGGCATGAATGAGCGCGAGGGCCAATTTTTCCAGTTGACTGTATCGTGCTTCTACGTCGATGAGTGACTTGCTGACATAGTAGACCGGTAGCTGCTTCGTGTCTTCTTCCTGAACTAACACGGCTGAGATTACTGTCTCTAAGACTGCCAAATAGGTGTAAAGTTTCTCCCTGTCCATCGATTTGGAAAGGAGCGGAAGGGAGGTCAGGTACCTTTTCAGCTGTTGCAAGGCTTCCTCGTAGGAGGGGGTCCACTCGAACTTGTCATACTTCTTGAGTGCATGGAAGAAAAGGTGGCACTTGTTGACGGATCTGGAGATGAATCGACTCAAGGCGGCTACCCGTCCTGCCAGACGCTGGACGTCTTTTATGCAAGCTGGAGATGGTATACTGAGGACCACTCTGATCTGGTCGGGATTGGCTTCTATCCCATGCTGAGTTACCATGTAGCCTAAGAATTTACCCGATGAGACGCCAAATGAACACTTGGCTGGATTCAACTTTATGTTATATTTCCTTAGGATAGCGAACGCCTGGCTGAGGTGGTCGAGATGCTGATCGGCTATCAGGGACTTAACCAGCATGTCATCGATGTAAACCTCCGTAGTATCCCTGAGGTGTTCAGTAAACATTCTGTTAACTAGCCGTTGATAGGTAGCCCCGGCGTTCTTTAGACCGAATGACATCACTTTGTAGTAGTAGGTTCCCCTTTTTGTGATGAAGGCTGTCTTTTCTTGATCGTCTAGGTGCATCAAGATTTGGTTGTAACCTGAGAAGGCGTCCATGAAACTAAGAAGCTCGTGGCCTGCAATTGCATCAACCATCATGCCGATATGCGGGAGCGGGAAGGAATCTTTAGGGCACGCTTTGTTTAAGTCCGTGAAATCGATGCAGACTCTCCACTTTTCGTTCTTTTTCTTTACCACCATGACATTTGCCAGCCATTCGGGGTAATGGGCTTCTCTGATCATACCATTACTCAACAGCTTTTCAACCTCTTCATTAATGATTTGGTTGCGCTCTGGTGCGAATTTCCTTCTCCTCTGTTTCACTGGTTGGTGATCTGGATCTACTTTAAGATGGTGGAGCATGGCCTCTGGACTTATTCCCGTCATGTCGGTGTGGGACCAGGCGAAACAGTCTTCGTTCTATTTGAGAAATTCTATCAGCTTTTCTGTTGTTTCGGGCCCTAGACGGGAACCTATCTGCGTCTTTCTCTCAGGATCATCCGGGTGTATCTGTACTTCATCTAACTCTTCCATTGATGGTTGATCTGGCTCGGTCAAAAGGGTTGGATGAGACTGTAGTTGCTATGAAGCGTTACCCTTGCCCTTAAAGACGTTCTTGTAACAATCTCTAGAAGCTTTCGGGTCGCCCTTGATTTCTCGTACTCCCCATTTGGTAGAAACCTGATTGTTTGGTGGAAAGTGGATGGGATTGCTTGCATGTCGTGGATCCAGGGTTGGCCTAAGATAGGGTGAAGGGGCATCTATCACCAGGAAGACTGTCTGTCTGTTCACTCCACTAGCATAGATAGGAAGGACGATTTCTCCGATGGTGTACTTCTGTTCAGAACTAAAACCAACTAGTAGAGTCGGCCTTTTGTTGATGTTTTCTTCTTCCAAACCCATAACTTTTACTACTGTAAGGAATAGAATGTTCGCTGATGACCCTCTATCTATGAACACCCTCTTCACAAGGATATTGGCAATTTGGAGGGAGACGACTAGAGCATCATGATGAGGGGTGGCCTGAGTGATCGGCTCGTCATCTTCGAATGGAATTACCTGATGGAAGTGTGACCAAGAAACTGGGCGGATTGACTGTATCTCATGGTGGCTGCTAGACCTGGCGTATAGTTTGGCTGATGAATAACTGACCCCGCTGATTTCTGACCCCCCGGAGATGAGTGAGCAGAAGCCTTTTGGTGTGGGCTCTTGCGGGGGTGGAGAAGTTTCTTTACTGCTTTTCTGGCTAATGGTGTGCTTTCCTTTATCGGTCAGCAGATCTCGGAGATGTCCCCTCTTCAATAGCGCGGCAACCTCCAAACGCAGGGCAATGCAATCCGGGGTGTTATGTCCATAGTCGCCGTGAAACTCACACCACTTAGTTGTGTCTCTTCTTGCTTTGACGTTTAACTTGCCTGGCCACCTAACACTGGATCTCATTCCCTTTATGACCGCCACCACTTGGGCTGGTTCGACGTTCAGGTTGTAGTATGGTATCTTGTATCGGCTTGGTCCGATCTGTCTATTATCTGTTCTGGGTGGCTGATGGTCGTATTGTGGCTGACGGTCATATGGTTTCCTGACTTTGTTCAAATGATGCGCTGGGGGTTGGTAGCGGTTTTCTATCGGTTTGGCATCTAGCCTCTTATCAGTCCGCCTCGGGTCGTACCTGGCGTGGATTACTCTATTCATTTTATCTTCTTCCCACCTTATTTGTATCACCGCTCTGGCCAGAGCGTCTTCCATCGTGGTGCAACCAAGCTTCGTCAATTCTTTGTGCCATTCCTCATTCGAGAGGAGGCCTTTCCTGAACGCGTCTATAGTTGTCTCGGGGTTGCAAGCAGGAATGGAAATTTTCTCCTTGTTGAATCTGCTGACGTACTCTCTCAGTGGTTCTCCCATTTTTTGGTATACTCTATATAGATCGGTCGACAATTTCTCAAGCTTCTTACTACTGGCGAACTGCTCCACGAAGGTGTCAATAAGTTGTGCAAATGAGTCAATGGAACCTTTTGGGAGATTTGTGTACCACTGAAGTGCTGGGCTGGCTAAGCTTGAACCAAAACTCTTACACATGCAGGCTTCCCTCAACGCGCAGGGTATAGAGATAGTGAACATCCGTTGTTTATATGAGGCTATGTGATCGTCTGGGTCGGTTGTGCCGTCATAGGGCTTCATGCTGGGAATAGTAAATTTGTGGGGCATGTCGGCTAGGGCGATTGCATCCGTAAAGGGTGAGTCAGCATAACAGTGAGGCCTGCTCTTCTTGGTAGGGATCGACATTCCTGGTATTTGCCTCATTACTGCCTCCACATCAGCCAATCTCTTAGCCAATATCTGTTCCATAGGAGAAGGGATACCACTAGGTCATCCCGTTTATATTTTGTTGAGTTATTCCCCTTGGTGTAGCTTGGTGGTTCACCCCTTCATGTAAATCATGGTAGCCCAGATCGCCATTCATTCCCTCCAGTCGGATGACTCCCATTGTAACTGACCAGGTGTTTCGTCCTACATGGATGGTCAGGGGGGTTGTTTGGTATTCATTCGGCCCGCTAGGATGGATGGACTCTAGTGGTATACTTAGGTTTGGACGGCCGTTCAACCCGCGAGGATGAGCAGAGCCGAATGGCGTTTGTGTAGGGATGGACTGAAGGTTAGGTGGAATGGCAAGGATGGGCGGGTCCTGCTGGAACGGGTTTTCTGTTGCTTGGGCGTCCAGGTCTCGAGGTTGTGGTGGATCGGTTGAGCGGGGTTCTATCAGCAGATCATTTCCTCCCTGAGTCAGGACCGAGTCATCTCCCACTGATGAATTCAGTTGACGTGACCTTATATTTGAAGCTCCGAGCCCGTGCTCTGGGGTTCAGAGAGGTTGCATAGATGGAACCGAGACGCGGAACCGATTTAGTGGTACCTGAGAAGGTAGAAGGTCGAGGTCATAAAACTGGCTTACCTTTTCTTTCAGAGATTGGTTCTCAACTCTGATCGAGGTGTTTTCGGTCCGGATGGCAGTGTTCTCAGCTTCCAGTATGGCTACCTTGTTTGAGTTTTGTTGCATGAAGGCGGTCAGAGCCTCAAGTTTGGCCTCGAGGCCGGGATTTGCATTGTCAAAATTGTCAGCCATGGAAAGTTCCCCTACATAGCAAGGTTCGTTGAGCCAGATGATTGCTAGAGGCCCCACGGTGGGTGCCAAACTGTAGACATAAAAATCTACTGGTACGGAAGGAAGGATTGATCCTGTGAGGTTGAGGCCACTAGCAATTTGTTGTACCTGCACACTGATGCGTGTTTACTACAACATGCAAAAATAGCAAGTATACTAGTTGCACAAGTAATAGAGTGATGAGTAGAGTATCGTTCCCACGAGGATAGTGTTACTAAGTACCGATTTCCCTAGTTTAAGTCCTAATTGAAGCAACAATAAATTGGATTGATGGACGATTAACAAACTAAAAACAAATGCAAAACCCAACAATTTAATTAATTAAACAATTCTAAGAAAAAATGCTAGGGTGTTGATTTCACCTAGATACGCTAACCCAATTCATAGAATCTATTGTCCAAGTTCTAATTCCTTGATTGAAAATCAAATTCCCTAAGTTGTAAAACATACCTTCTCAGGCTACATTTCCCTACTTATCCCGATTAAGCTTCCGCACCCATTAAAATGAAGATTAATAGTTCAAAGTCTTTTACGCTTTATGGAATTCTATCTATTCATAGATCGCTAACTATCTCTAGCGTTTGAAACTATGGTATTTATCCCAAGAGGCACAATCACAAATCACTTCTCAGTCTAATTGTGAACAACACATATTTGAATAGTGATCAAGCACAAAAGTCATTAAGCAAAGAGATAAACACTCAATCATGAAATTAAACTCAAAGTAAATCAATTCATATAAAATTGAATCATGTATCAAGGTTACATCAAACCCTAGCTAAACAACTCAGTTCATTGTCAAAAACGAAATAAAACAACAAAAACAACTTGAATCAAGATTCATCATTGAAAAGCAAGCAAAAGAGGAGAAATCTTCTCTAATTTGAAGCCCAAATCTTCAATAATCTTCTCCTTCCATGAGCTGCTCCCAAATCACGAACCAAGCCCCTTTTCTCTTCCTTTTCGCTCTAATTTAAACCTCTCTCACTTAAGGACGAAGCCCTAGTAAGCCAAAACGCGTCTTTTTTTTTTTTAAAATTTGACGCCTGTCTGCCTCCCAAATCACAACCAAGCCCCTTTTCTCTTCTTTTCGCTCTAATTTAACCTCTCTCACTTAAGGCGAAGCCCTAGTAAGTCAAAACGCGTCGTTTTATTTTAAATCGACGCCGTCAAGGCTTGCCGTGGTGAAGACTTTCGGGCCAATTATGAGCATGATAGAGTCTGAATCTGAAAAGTGTTAAACTATAATTATAGCCCTTTCAATTATCTTTCGGTCGTTCAAGAATCAGCACAATAAGAGGTATACAGCTCAAGTTATGGCGAAATACTGAAGCACGTCAAAGACGTTTTTCTTCATTTTTCCTAGCGTACTTTGCACAACTTCAAGCCAAGTTTTCACCTTTGTCCAGTCAGAATTAGGAAAAACCCAAAACATGAAAGTTGTAGCTCTTCTTCTTAGCTTTCCAAAGCTTCTAAATTCAGGTCATTCCGAGTTTCCAAGCTCAAGTTACATAATTTACGCTCAAAACTGTCATTTATGCTAAAAATCATCGTTTAGGCCTACAAAGACAAATTAATAGAATTAGGTAGCAATTATGGCCCAAATTGTATGAAAAGTATCATAAATCCTATCAAAATTCAATGCAAAATCATAGTGTAAAATATGCTTATCACACACGTAGAGAAACATGCGTGAAGCGATGAAAAACACCGAGGTGGTGTTTACCGTAGACACTCCGACGCTCAAGTCAGCAAGGTTGAAAGAGGTTAATATAGTGAGGGCTAGGGAGTAGAGGGGTTACCGGAAGTCTAGTCGGAGACTGTGACTACGGTAGTGATATGAAGCTCTCCAATAAGAACTTCGGGTGTGAAGGTGTAATATCTGCCCCTCGGTGAGAGGGTTGGCCTCTGTTTATATAGTGACTACTTGGTCTCCCAATCCTAAAAGGAGTAGGAGTCCGAGTGTAACTCTGATACAAACCCTAGAAAAGTTAGGGCGGTGGTGAGCTGTCTTACTTGCGACCGAATAGCCAGGTGATCTGAACAGGAAAGTCACTTTAAGTAGGAAACTAACCAGGAACAGGAAAGTGACTTCAAATAAGAGATTGAACAAGAACAGGAAAATGATCAGTGGGGGCTGTGGGCTTTGAGCTCTCTTATAGGCCCATGAAGTGAGCTAGAACTGAGAGGCCCGTGCCTAGATGCTTTGGGGCCGACCTTATCTCGTATCAAATGGGATTAATTTGGCTTGGGCCTCTAGGACTAGGATTGGGCTTGTCCCTTTCTTCGCTGGTGGTCCTGTTTTCCTATTTGGGCCAATGACGATTTTTGGCCCTAACAATTAGGATTACAAATTTAATCACATATTTAAATTATGATATTGGTTATGTGTAAGAGCAACATTTTTTCTTTATTCAAATTAAGCCACAATTTTTGAACACTGGAGTAAAACAATTTGGATTACGAGATTTAATACAAGTTGTATCATGAGTATTTTTAATAAAAAGTTAAATAACGTTTAAATAAGAGATTTGAGGGACTGTTGTTTATAAAAACTTATAGACTCCATCATTCAGGTTAAAACAAAATATCCATAGACTCTATAATCCAAATTAAATGGGCAAAGGGCTTTCTTTTGGATTGGGTAGTTAAATTTGTATACGATGGATCTAATTATAATCTAACATTTCATTTAAATTGTTTTTAGGCTTAAAAACTGGATTTGGTAAAACTTTCGTTTAGCATGTTTTTGGGTTTAATTATTTTAGGGGTAATTACAATTTTATAAAGTACTGAGGGTCTAAGATTAAAAATTTATAGTTTCTTTTTTTAGGTTTAAATCCCAGGAAGGGTGCTACTCTACTGTAGGCCCCCATCAGCGAAACATTTGGCAAAATGAATGTCGTCTCTAGAAAACTTCCTCACATGGCATTTCCAGGAAATCCTGGAATCGGTAAAATTGTTGCTTACTTTATCTTTCCTATCTAGACCAAGGCCGTCTCTAGAACATTTGCGATCCTAGGCAGGAGTTACTTTGGGGCCCTTTAATAATATAAGTATATATTAAAAAATTTATTTTATTTTATTTTATTTTTTTTTGCCTTTTGAAATAAAAAATCATTAGGAGATGTGAACAGCAATCGGCAGGCTAACAAGGTTAGGTTGGTGGGGGGTTTTGAAGAGTAGATGTTAGAGAAGTGATGGGTGGTGAAATGGGTGATTTCCAATGCCAAGATTGATAAGAAAAGGCTTGAGAAGTCATGGCCCAAAAGATATCGATGGCCGGCGATTGGTAGAGTAAACGGATAAGGTATGATAGGGGTTTTGGTGAGAGGGCTGAGGGGAGGAAGATGGCGGTGTCAAGGAAGGCCAACAATGTCGGGTATATGCCAAAAAGGCTGGAAATGGCTGTCGTGTGGTGGAGTTAGGTTGCAAGATTCATAAAAAATTAGTCAAATCGAGGGTTATCAAGGTTGGGAAATGATAAAATGATGATTTCGGTCGATTTTGGTGAGAAAATCGACCGGAACCAAAATTGACCGAAATCAACTCCAAACCACTGGTGGCAAAAGAGGGCTGGAGATGATTTATGTGAATGTCAAATTTTGGGATTGAATTGGGGGTGAGTTATTTGAGATATGTAAATGACTATTTTAGTATTCTATTGTTAAAAGAGATTCAATGTGTTAATTTAGGAGTATAAACTAGAATATATAAAACTAGAGGTACAAACTTGATATTTTGTTAAACTTTGGGTGAGAATATATGTAAAAAGTTTATAATAAATTTGGGCTTTTATGACTTTCTTTTTTTGGGGCCCCTTGGCTTAGATAAGAAAATATAAACCATTTTAATTTTTGTAAAGTTTTCAAAACAAAAAAAAAAAATTTATAAAAAATTTGGGCCCCCATTTTTTTGGGGCCATAGGCACCTCACCTGCCTAGCCCTTAAGCCGGCCCTGATCTAGACTTTTACATTTGACTTTTGAGGGACTAAAAACTATTAGACTCTATCATCCAAATTAGAACTAAATATCTATAGACTCTATAATCCAAATAAAATGGGCAAAGGGCATTCTTTTGCATGAGAGGCACAGGGCCCTTAGACTGAAATTCAGTGGTAGAACTAGGATTTTAAGAGAGAGGGGCAAAATAAAAAAAAATAAAAAAATATATATATATATATATTTTAAATTTTTTCATAATGATAATTAAAAAAAATTAGTTCAATACAACTATAATTTGTCTAACACATGGTGAAGCAAATAAAGGAAATGATACTAACATAAGGAAACTTATAAAAAATAATAAGAATTATTTTCTATTAAATTAAAGAAAATAATAATAATAATTTTCTATTAAATTAAAGAAAACTAAGTAGAATAGGATTCATAAATTAATGAAGAATATGTCCTATATCAAAGCCTTAAGTTATAAAGTTTGTATAAATGTTTTTTATTTAATTTATAATCTAAAATTTTCTGTAGTTTATTTTTTGGAAATTTTTATATGGCCTTAATTATAATATAACATTTCATTTTTTTTTTTTTTTATAGGCTTTACAATTTGATTGGGTAAATTTTCATTTAACTTGTTTTTGGGATTAACTATTTTGGGGGTAATTAGTAAGTTTATAAAATATTAAGGGCCTCGTGAATAGTTTGTATTGTTCTTTTTTCTTTTTTAAATACCAGGGTGGACACTGCCTCACCCTGGGTTTGCACAGGCTCCACCATAGCTGAAAGTTGGCACCATAAGACTTCCACTCACTTCCACACATGGCATTTCTAGGAAATCCTGGAACAGGTAAAATTGCTGCTTGCTTTATCTTTAGACTCTACCATAATGTAGGTATCTAATGTAAGCTAATATAGCTACCCCGGGTTTGCACAGGCTCCGCCATTTGTGATGTATTAAAAAATAAAAAATAAAAAATTTCATGGTAAACAAAGTTTTGGTAAA